GCTGCCACAAACAGTCCAGCAGCAGTCTGCTTCCTGAACAGTTGCTGGCATTTTGTGGTTTTAACTGTTCCTCTAGGATGAACTGAAATGAAATTAACAGAGCAGTCGCTGTATTTATTTAAAAAAAAAAAAGGAAACGAAAATATTTGTGCTGCCAGGAAACGTTGGCTATAGAGTATTGTGCCCCAGAGGCAAAACCACACCGTTCGCTTGGGACTGATCCTGACAGCGTACGCACAGCTTCCCTGAATTTTATGGCACGACCTCATGATGGCCCTTTAGTGCCTGTGTCCAGGTCCCCGAATCCTGAGTAGGAACTCACTGCGGACGTAGCGTAAGTCACGTGGTCACTAGGGTGCCGGAATAATCCAACCAGGGACACAGGCACAGAAGTATGCTACGCTGCAGATGCCGACGGCCTGCCTTTTCGAAAGAGACCCATCATTTGCCTGGCACAGAGCAAGCGGCTTGGTGTTCCAAACCAGGCCCTAAAGGATTAAGAGGAAAATAAGCTTTATCTGTGCAGAAAAGGGTAGTGGAAGTTTCCAGCTTCTGCTGAGGGACATTCAGCCAAAATTTTGATTCTCAGTCTCACGGCAACTGTCCGCTGTCTCTTGATCTCTCATGGTGGATCGTTCCCAAAAAGGTCAGTGGCTTCGTTCATTAAAACTGTTGTTAATCTGCCTTAGGAGCACCTTGCTTACACATAACATTGCAAACAGCCCCTTTCCTTCCCTTCGGTGCCTGCAGAAGGCCAGAGAATGTGGCTGTGGCCCTGCAGAACCATCAGCGTCTTACCCCAGAAGCTGTTCAGGTGCAAGCCTAAAATACACGATGTTGCACAAGTCCTTGTGCATTATTCCACTTGTAACCGTTTTCCCCGGGGCATTTGGTAAGGATGCCGTTCTGTTACAGTGTTGAATTTCTTTAACTCTTGCAGATTTTTGACAAAGAAGCTAAAGATCTGGAGCGAGAAGTCTGCTTCATTGATATTGCCAGCGATGAAATTCCTGAGCGCTATTACAAGGAATCGGAGGTAAGAGACCACTTGATTGTGACACGGAGAAGAAGGAAGGTAAGAGGCTGCAGGAAGGCCGTGGTAGGAGTAAAACCAGTTTTGTTTGTGTATGAAATCTTGCTGGTCAGTGGGATGTTAAAAGCTTTCGATGAGAGGGGAAGCAGATAGCAACCCCTCTGTCTAGACTGGCTGGCAGTGTCTTTTGCAGGTGATTCCTCCAACCTTCTGAAATGCTTCCGTACCTTACCAGAACATATCCTGGACCAGACCTTTGATTTTCAGCTGAATTCATTCAAAGCAGAAAAGGTCTTCTCTTTGACTCATGAAGCTCAGCTAAGCGATAGCAGCTCTGAGCGGTTTTAAGCATAATTGTTTGTCCTTATTTGCCTCCCACCCCAACCACGACGTCATGCAGGGTACCCCAGCCCAGCAAAGGGCAGACACGCTGCGGTGAGAGTAGGGTTGATATCAGCACAGTTGCTGCGGGGGACTGTGAACCGAGGCTGGGCTGACCAAGGGGGCTGAAGCATGCTACATCCTGCAGTAAATCTGCAAAAGAGCATCCGTGGCAGCAGACACATTCGCCCTCCTAAAATACCCTTGAAAATTGCTGCTGTCTGTATTTGGCAGTGCACAGCTCTGAAGAACGTTGTTTCTTTTAGGTCAGTGCAATTCCCTGTTTGAAATAGCAACGCCATGCAAATGAGGATGAGGTCTCAGGGGTTTAACCTCAGCCTTGAAAAATGGTGGTTCACAAGAAGCAGCTAGAGGGGAGTGGTCAGATCTATGCTTGCATTTAATTTTGGAGATGCGATGTGCCTCTGGAGCCAAGCGTACATTCATAGCTGGCAATGAGAACGGCAGCTGTTAGACTATACAAAACCAGACTACGTAATCATTTTTAGGATAGAAAATGGAGACTTGCCAATGAATATATTTCTATACCATCAGAGATGATTTTCAGGCTAAAAAAGTCAGGTACTTGTTATCTTCCATTTATAGATCCTATTTCAAATTTTATGTACGGGTCATAAAACAAAATTGTGTCTACAGTAGAATGAAAAGTAATTTTATTAGTTTCCTTAGATAATGAAACCCATCTGTTATGTACCAAAAATTATATAACACCTCATGAAACAGCTTGTTGGTCCCATCATCTTATGTGAACCCTGCAGTCTTCCAGTTCCGTTCAGGAATGACGGCTGCTGTGGAACGCGTCAGCATTTGACTGCGTTTTAAAGAAACCCTGTAAGATTTCCGTCTCAGAGTGCACTTCTAGAAATTGTAAACATGAAAGTGACGTCTAGCTTTTCCACTTGCTTTCCCATTTTGAATAGCCAACTATCAAGCATAATGTCCGTATCATAATCTGATGATAGAGAAAACCAACCTCATGTGGAATGAGAAAAGAATTTCAGAGTCTTTGTATTGTTTCCAGACAAATCTAGAGACCTGATTCCAAGCACAATGTTATCTGGCTTTAAACAAGAGAAATAGCCCAGCATCTGGCGTTTTTTCTGTGCTGATGGGTGATTTGCAGGTTGGCTACCGAATTCTGTTTCAGAATTCATACAAAATAGTAAGAACACCGTAGTGTTTAACTGTGCATACACTGTGATGGATATTGAATTAATAATGGTTGGATTCAGTATCTTCCAAAGTTGACAAACTGCGGGGTTTTATGCTGCCATATGATGCGTATGAAGCCAAATTCCCATTTCTGATGGGGCCTCTTACATAATTTAGGGACTATAAAAAGATTTGTAATGTTTGTAAATGTAATTTCCGTCTGTTTTCAATCAGAACAGCATAAAAAAGTAACTATGTAAATGAGAAACGGTCTGTGTTGCCCAAATAACAGTTTCAGAGATAACTAAAACCCATTTACTGTAAGCTTTTGAAAGGTATTTTAGTCACACTAATAACAACAATTTGGCTGCTTTTAGATCATTTAATCTGAGTTGATACTAAGTGTAAAGATTAAAAGTGGATTACAATCCTCAGGATTTAAGAATTAGATCCCATGGGATAAGTGTTCTGACTCCCATCCAGACAGACCGATGAGAACGGTTTTAGCTTCAGGCACATGAGTAATCTCTTCGTATCAGTGTGTCTTTCACATGCTTAAAATGAAGCAAGTTCTGCATCGGGGTCAGCGGACTTAGAGGCTTCTGGAGCTGAGCTTTCAATTTCTTTTATATCCTGACGAGGGTGCATCCCTCGGCAATTAAAAATACCCTCCGGTTGTTAACAGGGAGTTTCCTTGTGTGGTTGTGTGACAGAAGGGCCTAAGTCACCGAGCACGTAGTGAAGCAGAAGACAGCTTAGTTACCTGTTACACACACATACACAGGCTCCAGTTCGGTCTTGCGCGGAGGTAAACCGATTGCTGCTGTCAGAAGTGTTGCCCTTGTAGAAGAGTGGAGGTGTCACTGCAGCGACCCCGGTGTCCCAAAGCAGATGAGTTAATTTTAACCTGTGGCCAACAACGGACTTCGTCGTGGCCGCTGGAGTACGTACCAGTGCTGCCACATCTGACGTACGGCTTTTTTTACAAGCGTGGACCTAAAAATCCTGAAGCTTTTAGGATGTTTAAATGTGAGGTTCCAAATTGAGAAAGCTTGAATCCGGATCCAAGCTAACAGGTTTGCCTGGTTTTCTATAAGGAGTCCCATATGTTTCCAAATCTGGACATACATATTCCACTGAACACAGAATTTTCTGTTTCTGCATGAAGAATGTACAGCCTACAGGTAAGAGGAGCTGTACGGTGGGTGAAGTCACTTCCTCGTGACTTCAGCGCCGACGAAGATGTGTCACCAGCCAGCGTGTTCCCCAGACAGACCTACATACTTGTCTGAGTTACCGACAGACCAGAGCCGAGCTGTGCTGAAGCGTGAGGCCCTCGAGTGAATCACTCACTGAAACGAAGCGTGTGAGCTACCCAGCAACATGTTCTTTGCCACCGTATTCCAGTTCCCAAAATTACCAGCGTTTCCTTTCCTCTTTGTAACAAAGTGGCTGAGAGTTGGACGAATGGAATAAACTTGTGAAGCTGCCTCCAAACAGGCAGATTCCATGCCGTGCAGGCGCTGCCATGCTCTCCTTTTCCACGGGAACACGGCTGCAGTGCCATAGGTCCAGCTCACCGCTCTCCAGGTGCTTCCAGAGTAACAAAGCCTCTGTCGCGGTCCGGAGCTGGAGCACTGTGGTCGTTGAGATGCCGCCGCTGCCTCAGCCCCCGCAGTGTGCACCGGGTCGGCAGAGCCGGTCAGCTCAGGGCACAGCAAAGCCAGCCCAGGATTCCCCTCTCCTTACTAACTTCCGTGGTGAGCTGACATCAAGGCTGGCTGGATTATCATATTTTAACACCTCAGAACTGTCCCAATACTTAGAGGTCGGAAGTATTTAGCTGGCTGCTCCAGAAAACATGTTTTATTGGAAATTCAAAAAGAGGGGAAAAAAAGTCTTTAAAAAATGACTCCACATAAATCCCTATAGTAGCATCTTTACATCGGTAAATCTTTCCGGAGCCCTAGCTCTATGAGCTGAAATCCAAACCCTTAGCAACTACAGCTGGTGGTGAAATGCCAGATCACATGTATTAAAGCCACAGAGGATTGGTTCTGAAATTCAAGATCAAACAAAATGGTCTTCAGCTTAAAAGGGAAAAAAAAAAAATTGACAGCACTTCAAAAGCAGAGTGGTGGAATATATTGCGACGGGAGCCTGAAACAACAAATCTATGCATGGAAAGGAAGGACTGGGATGTTTCCAGGATGTCTGAGTAGCACCCAGGAAGAGAATGGGGCGTATGGCGTGATGTGATGCACTGCCACCTCTGGAGAACTCAGCTTGGGGATCTTCTTCCATGCTAAAGTGGCCATCCAAGCAGCAGGTAGTTTTGGGGACAGAACGGCGACAGGGCTAGCAAGGAGCCCCAGGCAGGCTTGCAGCACACAGGCAGAGGAGGTGGCGGCAGCTGCAGCATAGCATGGGAGCTTCAAGTCATGCCTGCTAGCACGGCAGAGCTAAGGGCAAGCACGCCCACCCCGATTCAGAAGCTTTCCGTAAACAGTAGATGTGTTTCATTATTTAACTTTAAGTAAAAAACAACATTTCAGAGTTCAATCTGAAAAGGCACTGCAACAACCCCGTGCCGTATTGTCAACACGGTGGTGTTTGCCTCCTGAAAAGGGCGTTACGATTCCACGTCTGATGCCCATGGTGTCTGCACTCCATGAGGAGGGTTAAGGAAATAGATGCTAAATAGCGGAATCCCCCCCAATAAGCGTGTTGAGCCGGAGCCCCAGGCGCGGCCTAAGGAAGACACGCTGGGAGAGGGCTGTGTTTGAAGCCGCGGCCATCACGCTGTGGCTTTTATTTCCTTCTACTGCAATTTTACCTTTTAGTCTCAAATAAGCCCCGCTCACGGGTGGTGATGTTTCTGCTCTGTTAGCAAAAGTGCTATTTTTAAATCACCCTGCACCTGGCAATAATGTATTGCAAATACAGAGGAGGTTTTGCTCCCCTGCAGCAAACGGATTTGCCAGATGGGCTTTCCTAATAAATTGTGTCTGATAAAAGGACGAGAAGGTTATTTAAACAAAAAGATTTTAGCTATGCCATTACATTTAAAGCAGATTGAGGATTTTGCCAGCAGATAAATTAAGGGGAAAATAGTGAATAGATGCAGTATTCTTTGGATGGTGGCTTCTCTGGGAAGGCAGGCATGGGTGGCTAGAAGCTCAAATAAGGCACACACAAAATTAATGGTATACGTAATCAAGTCAGAGTGGGGTCACCCATCACCTTGCCCAGTTCCCAGTCACTGACGCAGTGTTTCAAACTCACGTTCCTGCTGCTCCACTCTAGCCTGCTGCCTCTGGCCTGCGCTTTGCAAATGGCCGTACCTTTCCCGGGAAGAGGAGAGAAGGGCCGTGGTCCGGTACAGGCAGGTGCTCAGCTCTTCCTCCTGGCACCCGGAGAGATGTCAGCGTGGCACAGGAGTCTGGTGTGTTCTGTCTGACCGACCTAACCAGGGAGCTACAGCACGAAGGGCAGGAGCAGCAGTGCTGTGCACCGCTACTATTTCTACACGCATTTAACAGAAAATAATAATCCTTGCTTCTTATGTTGTATAGAATGACCTTATATGCCCAAGTCCGATGCAGAATTATGTGCCTAATTCCTATGCAGAAGAGATTCTAGGATGTGAATCTTAATCTGGCCATTTGAAGCCAAGAGTTAGGCAGGTAAAATCGTTCTGGGTTGTGGCTTCCATGTCAAAGTATCGATTTCAGTGGCCTTTGGATCAGACACTGAAGAGCAAAAGATTAGCAATTGTGGTCACCACAAAGGTTCTTCTGGCGTGGTATGATCCCTGTGGCTGTGGCCAATACAGAGGCCTAGGAGAGGTGTAAACGTGTGAAGTTATAGAGGTAACAGTAAATGCTCCCTCCTGTGAGACACAGCACACTGAGCCAGGATCTGTGTCTTTCTAGAATAGTCCAAAATGTTTAAAATAACCTGATTTTTTAGCATCCAGGTAAAAAGCCCAGCGATGTGAGTTTACTTACGGTAGCGACTCAGGTCTGTAGACCACTCGTGCCCTTTGGATTGGTGGCCCAGCGATTAAACTCCCGAGGTCACTGTGCTTGATGTGGGGTGTCTTACGGCCCACCGCTCAGCTTGGACGCCGTCTGAGTATCGCTCACCTGAGCACTCGGTAAATCTTTAACATCTTGATCTGCTGCTCTGAATTCTGTTTCCTGGCTTCCGCTCCTCAGTCCAGCGTTCTGTAGTGTCAAGGTGTTGATGTTTCCCGGGAGTCTGGGATTTCCCTGAGAGCTAGTAGATGCGAGTTGCCCATGGTGTCCGTCATCGCCGGGCTCTGTGCTGGGAACTCTGCAGCCAGTTTGTGACCAAACATCACGCCCTGCGAGGAGAAGGGGCGTGGTTAAGGGAAAGGTGCCATCTCCGGGTGCTGTTAAGGAATTTGCAACTAGGAGTGAGGTCGTGGATGGAGTGCATCGCAGTAGGGGCATTATTTGTAGGCCACCAGTTTAAGAAACATTTCCCCCAGGAGTCCCCTTGTCTGCTGGGGTAACTTCACGAAACCAAAGCAAAACACGGCTCTCGCAGCATCCGGAGGGTTCCTGCAGTTTGAACGAGACGGAAGCTTTCTGTGCGACGGAGCAGCCGCGCAGGGTAGGTGCTCCTGGTGTACTGGTTACAGATTCTGAGCAGCTGATGCTGACTCCTGTTCACTGCGGTGAGTCCCTGTGGCCCGTCACAGGCCTGGTCATCACGGCAGGGACATACAGCATCCCTGCACCACGCTCCGAGGCGTGCCTGCCTGAAACGCTCGAGGAAGACCATGGCCCGTCACACTAGGGCCATACACGTGTGTAAGGGACTGCAGACCCTCCCGTACATTGGCCTACTCTCCTCTGATTCTCCTTTTCTTCCTTTCTGAATATTATGTCTTACTTCTTCCCTTTTTTTTCTTTTTAATATTATTTTTATATTGCTGGCTTCAGGCAACAAGCAGTTCTACACCAACATTTTAAACCAGAAAATACCGAGCTCAGTCTGAGGTCAGGCTTTATTGAGTGGGATTGGCGAGGCGCGTGACCGTGGGTCGTGATACATGTTGCTCTGAAATACGATGACGCTGAATTGGTTTTTATGGTGATTTAACATTGAGACCGTATTATGCTGCGAGCCTGAAGTTTCTGTTTAGAAAATAATATGTCAGCAATAAAAGCAGCGACTTTCCCAGGGAGGATGACAATCACCTCGTTAGAGCTTTGTAAAGAAGCTTTAAGGACAGATCTTCAGTTTATGGTAAAATCAGCAGTCGGTGATCGCTACAAGCATTAGGAAAAAGGAAGGCTGAGGGATACAGAAGCTCAAAGAAGATTAAGATCAGAGAAGTCTTATCAACTCATTAGTTTTACTCCTGTCTTCCATTAAGTGCATAACTTAAGCACATACTGAAGTACAGCTCGAACTGCTTCCAAATCCAAAGGATGGGTGTAAAAGATCTTCCCAGATCTCAGCTCTGGGGAAAGCAATGCCGATGAGCCCTGGTGGGGATTCCTGGAGACAGATTTTAGAAGCTCCACTATGAATTTACAGAAACAACATGATTTTCAAGTTATGAAAGTCAGTGCTTAGCTGTAAATTATTTCTGTTTGCAAGATGTAATTAGCAGGATTGGACATGAAGTGAAATGGAATTACACCAGTATGGAAAATAGCACTTTGATAGATAAAGCTGTGCCTCGTGCAGATAGAAGTAGAGTTTGAAGATGAATTAATGTCGTCGTTGGTTTTTGGTCTTGCTGTTGTAATTTTGACCCCAATTTATTTGATTTTCCAGTTGGTAAAAGAGAGAGAGAGCTGAAATCAGCCAGCGTTCTCCCAAAGATACCATAGCTCCGTTGCAAACAGGGGTGGCTAAACCGGGGGGTGTCATACTTGGCTGCCCACCTGGATGTACAAGTTGACTTAAAAATGGAAACGGCATGGCCAGGGTCACATCAGCGTGGTGTGTCAGAGCTCAAAGCGACGTGATCTCAGGAAGATAGGTGTGGGCACAGAGTACCAACAAGTCACACTGAGGCAGTAGTGGAAGAGCAAGCTCTGGAGAAGCAACTTTTTCTTTTTTCCAACAGCCATAGGTAACTTTTGGAGCGCATTGTGTCATAGTGACTTGCAGTAATGTACAAAAACGTCCTAGACGGTACGATTGTCACAGCATCTCCAAGAACCTGCTGCCATCGATCCACTGGCTGTTGGATAAGACAGGGTTGGGTTTTAGCACATTCTATCCGAGTGCTCATTTAAGTCAATTTCATAATACTTTGTCATGATGTTTATTAGCATGTTTTCGTATGTTAGCATATTTATCAAAACATTTACTTTGGCAAGTGGCAAACAGGACTTCCTCACCCGCATTTCTCAGTATGTTTTCTTTGTTTTGCAGGATCCAAAATATTTCAAGTCACAGAAGACTGGGAGAGGCCAGTTAAAAGAAGGCTGGAGAGAGACCCATCAGCCAATTATGTGTTCCTACAAACTCGTGACAGTGAAGTTTGAAGTCTGGGGCCTTCAGACCAGAGTAGAGCAGTTCGTACACAAGGTCAGTGAAACAGGAGCTTCACATAAGTGGAACTTGAGTATTACCCCGCGCGGGAATGCGAGCGTGGCTGCGCAGAAGCTGGAGACCTCAGCTGAATCTGCTTTCAGACCTCTCAAGGTCTGCAAGCTCTGGAACAGAGCCAAAGCGTTCATCGCTGGGTATAAACTTGACCGAGCCTGGAGCTGCTCAGCTCTAAGGCTGAGGAGAACTACCGGTACCATTTTCAACACTGTGATAAACACGTGAGCTGAGGTGTGTCTGAGCATGCGTAAGAACCGTACATGCAGCAACCGTGTGCTGCATTTCTTCCAGACAGGTAGTGGGAAAGTTTTCCAGTCAATCTACTAAAAAATTAGTTAAGGAATGGCATAACAGCCAGATGATAGTATTTTTCAGAGTATTGACCTTCCACATGTTTAAAAAACTAACAAGGAAAAAAAAAAGAGTTCCAGAACGCCTAATTGCCCAAAGATGAACGTCCCCAGATGGCTTCCCATGCTGGGCAAAGCCACGCTGAGGTGATCCAGTGTTGGCCAAAGATCCGCTTCAAGTGGGAGGCTGGACACCAAGACCCTCAGAGCCAGTACGTCTCATTCGCTAGGGCATGTCTTGTGAGAGAGAAAACCGCCAGAGTATTTTTCACTTTAAATCATGCTGAAAGACAACAGCGTGACTCTTGCGACAGGTTGTGCTGCTGCAGAGGTATTCAGCCTGTTCTTTGTCCCACAGGTGGTCAGAGATATACTGCTGATTGGTCACCGGCAGGCTTTTGCCTGGGTCGATGAGTGGTACGGTACGTATTCTCCAAACCTAGCCCACTTGAAAGGGCTGCTGCAACGCTTAGGGCAAGGAAGAACAGATTTCCATGTGCTGTCAGGGACCATCACGTCCCAGTATAAGTTGTCCATGAAAGAGGTGGAGCTCTGTTCAGTTGCTCTGGAACGCGCAGAGCTCGTTTACAGCACATTCTGTGTAACAGGAGTAGGCTGTGTCTCAGGCATCATACAGGGACACCTTTACATCCCATACATCCCAGAGTACAGGCGTCAGTCAGCCTGCACTGGAGGCAGACCCGAGCTGCCCCTGCCAGCAGTCGTCTGTATGGAGAACCGCATGCAGGTTTGAATAAAGCTTCTTAGTGAGACTGCATTAACGTGCAGTCATTCCCATACTGCAAACTCCTCTGATCCAACACAGTTTCAGCTTTTTAGGAAAGTTTTCAACTGTTAATGTAGACTGCAATAGAGAAAAGATGGAGCTCAAACGTCCTTCCTGAAAAATGGGTATAAATATAAAACCTTCTGGGTCTGATTCAGGCGCAGCTGCATGCAGAAACTGCTGTGAATCCGAGAACAGCTGTAGGAATGGGCATTTTCGATAGTACAGAGTCATCCTGAATGCCAAAACAGCCCATTATGGTTTATAAAATAAGCTCACGGGGTTTGTGCTTTGTAGGAGTATTTTCAGTGGGATGTATCCGTAATCACAGATACTCGTAGAGCAGTTTCTAAGACGTCCCTGTAACATGTAATAGGAATTTGGGAATACATTCAGAATGTTTATGTAGACACTAGCTCCTTAAGCTTCAGGAAACGCTGTTTTGGGCATTTCATGGCTAAGAATGACACCTGTCTTTCATCAAAACTCAGAAACATTCTGCATTGCTCAGAACTAGTCCATTAGCCCAGGTGGTGCACAGACATCTCCCGTGACTTCATACACCTGCACGTTATTTTCCCTCTAGGAAGTCAGGGAAATTGTTGACTTTATAAAGAAGCCTGACTTCATGTAAAAACTGAGCCCATGAGTTTGCCCCAAATCAACCCAAAATATCTATTAAAGCGAGACATAAGGCACTGTTAATGGGAAGCGAAGAGTTGCCTGCGCTTCGGCAGTGCGGTGATAGCAAGCCAGTAGTCGTGAAGTTAAGAGCGCGGAATAGGTTTAGCCCAAAACCACTTATCCACAGAGTTTCCCATCTTAACTCTGAATGCACCCTGTCAGAAATGCTCTTTCCACAAATGGCATCTTGTGATACCCAGTTACCTCGTGGACTTTCACAGTCAGGGGGGGTTCTTTTACTCAATAATACAGTGAACCTCCAGCACTTAATTGTCAGGCTAGGTACAAAAGCTAAAAAACGGGGCCTTACTAAAACAGGTATGAATCAAGGCAACGTCTATAGCAAGAGTTCTAAAAGGTGTATTACAAAAGAGAGTGCAGGAGGTTAGTTTAGGTAGGTGTGTGCTGTCTGCAGCCCTGCTACCGCTGCGTTGTTCTCAAGGAGAACGGTTGGTAGGCCTTGCAGACTAGAAACCCGAGACTGCCGTTACCCAGAACGAGCGAGATCCAGTCTGCACACATCCAGCTCAGTCTAATGCACACGGTGTGTCAAGCTGATGTGGTTCTGCTCGTGACAGGCTGAGGTGTGCGGGGAGAGGTTTTCAAAGTTTTGAAGCGTCTGTGTGCCATCCATGTGTTTATTACCATCTTTTAACGTAAAAGTTTGAGGAAGACTTGGACATGATCTGAGTCAGCTAAACTGGGTAAAATAATCAGTGGAAGAAAATCAGTTATTAAAGAACGTGTTATGTTACGGATATTACTGGCTGATTGCTGTTACTGATGCTGGAAGTATGAACGTGTCTTGTCATTACATTTACTAAACTGTGTTTAGCTTTATTATCAAGAAAATTTATTTTCCCAGTGCTACTAATAAAGAGCATGCTCTCTGCTTGGCAGAATGCATCCTTAGCATGTTACTGACGTGGCTTATGAGCTTGTTTTTCATTCCAGATAACAGTAAAAGGAAAAGACTAACGAGGGTATGAGTTAGTGGTGTTCCATGTTTCCTTTTGATCAAAATTTTAGGCTGCATTTCATTTTCCCTGATGAAGCATTCCGTTGTGCTACTGGTACAACAGCTGAAGTTACACCTCTCCTTAAAAGCTGTCTTGTAGAATGGAGCGAGAGCCTCGTGTCACAGAACACGGCGTGGTGTGATCCAGGAATTCACAGACCCGAGTGGCCCGAGCAAAAGGGTAGCCTGGAGGTCAGAGCCCCAGTGCGCCTTACCGAAGCAGTTACGCGTGTCCAGGGGTACTGGGCTGCTGAAGCTGCTCAACTTTAACCGTAAAGAGTCCATGGCTGTTTTCATGAAGCTCCGAAATCAAACCGTTGTAAGGAACAGCCCAAAATTCTGACAGCCTTCCCGTTCGCTTACCCCTCGCTCTCGAGTAGGTTTGTTGAAAGCATGGGAATACTCAGAAGAGTAAGGTCACAAGTCAATTAATTGGGTTCTTAGTGTCTTACGAGAGGTGTGGTTTATGACAAATGCTTTTAAATCCCTAGTAAGTGCTTTGAGTTACGAGGCAGGCACCGAACAGCTTACGCGCTGGTTTGGCAGCAGCAGCGTGCCCGGGCAATGATAAACCATCCTGCCGGTAGAATCGGCCTGGTTTGTAGAATATTTCTAATTCTTCCAATTCATTAAATCGCTGGAGGCTACAAAACCGTTAATGTGTTCACTGTTCATTCACTCACCAGCGTAATTAAGTGTTGGCTTCTGGCATCGAAGCTGATCTGTGCGCTAACAGTCAGAATGTTTGCTGGTTATCAGATACACTGTGCAAAGGTAACATAAAATCTGTTTGAAAGTTCCTGGAAAGGTAAGTACGTATTTATAGTATTTCTGTATCTCTCCTTTATTCCAAGGGATCTTCTAAAATCATTTTAGAAGATCGTGGCCTTTGCCAAGGCCGGCACTTCACTACTTTTTGCCTTCCTTATGCTACACAGATACTCCTAAACAATTTCCACTCCTTCCTGTTCTCTGACTCCCTTTGACTTAACCTCCTCACACCTTCCTTGGCTGATATAACTACCTTTATGAGTCACTTTTCATAAAGCTAGTTGCTCCATGCTTTTTTTAAATCCTTTTTTGGCTTCTGCTGAAAGACTGTGTGTTCCTGGAACCTTCTCCTTAAAAAAAAAAAAAAGTATGCACTGAATCAATGGAAAATGCCAACAATTTTGGACTTTTTACAGATATGACTATGGATGATGTTCGAGAATACGAGAAAAATATGCATGAAAAAACCAACATTAAAGTTTGCAACCAACATTCATCTGCTGTGGATGAAATAGAGAGCCATGCCAGAGCAAGAGTATGTCCATTTTTCAAACATATTGCCCACCCTCCGCTAACACACGGGGCCAGCTCAGAGCAGAGCAACCGAGTGACCTGGCTCAGCCGTCCCTGGGATTCTGGGGAGGTTTGAGTAGGAACAGAACCTTTCGGTGCAGTGCAACCCTGCCTTCCTTCCGTGGGCACCCTAAACTGCCACTAAGGCGAGGAAGGGTGGGGTTGGGCTCAAGGGCAACTCCCCTGTCTTTCAGGAAAACACATCTCAAATTTCGGTTGGATGCGTGAAGGGGAAGTTAAATCCCAGTTTTCCCTTCTATTGTTACAAAAAGTAAGAGTCCAGAGTGCTTCAGTCAAAAAGCCAGGAACATGGGGAGTGGAAAATTTCTGTGGGACTGATAAAATTGTGTGCCTCACCAGGGAAAAAAAAAGAAAAACTAATGAATTATTCACCCTTTTCAAACTAATTTTAATGTTGTCATTGATTATCTACCAACAAGGTGAGAAGGGTTGTCGGAAGTATCTAACAGCAGTCTGTGGAGAAGAGTTCTGAGTAGGTTCTTTGATTCACATTCTGGGAACTTTATAAAGTATTTAAATTCCTAATTTGGGCACCTCGAGTAGAGGCCTAAAATTAGAAATTATTACTGTCTGCAAATAGAAAGGTTGCAGTGATATTTGATTTTGTGATGTTGTTATCCTTTATTAACTGCACTGCCGAACTCAGTCGTGGTTTTACTCGTGTGACGAGTTCGGGGCAGGGCCTGAAGGGTGAAGTCTTTGGCCCTTCCTGAGTTCCTACCCAGTGAAAATCACCACCAGCCTGCGAGGATGTTGTCTAAGTACTAAGCGGGAAGGTGATCCTTGTGTTGGCGGTGCTGCAGCTCCGCTGGTGTCAAGGTTACGACAGGGCTGAGCAGTAAATTGAGAATCCGTTCTGCCTGACTCTCCACGTCAGGGTTTGGCTTTGGATGAAGGCTGTAGTGGCAAAATTGCTGTTGAGGGTGGCACAGAATTTGTCATTAGTGAAAAAAGGAGAGTCTGAGCCATCTTAGCTCAGGGTAAGGACTGGTTTTACTTGGGTGTGTATCAGAACAGACGTAACTTGAAGTGAGCGTAAGCTACAAAGCAGAAGTCAACCGCAGGGACAATCGGTATTTCCTGTCCGAGTTAAAACTGGGCGGTCTGGGAGGATACCACTCATTAAGACTGTAACCAGTCTTCACTTAAATGGCCAGGACACTGAGAAATCTTCCTGTCCCCTTGCACTTCCATTTCTCCAAGACACTTTTGTTTCCTGTTGTACAGAAGTCCTCAGTCGAAAATAGCTGGAATGAAGGCAGGGGCTCCCTTTGATGTCCAGGTGCGTTTACATCCCGTGAGTGCAGAGGCACTGCGCACGCTCGTACACGGGGAAACAAAATGTAAATCAGCAAAACAGGTTCAAATCTCTCTCCAACACAAGTAGGGACAGTTCCTCTGAGACCATCTGTTTATTTCCACCACTTAGCTCGGATTTGAAAATAGCTTAGTCCTCACTTCTGGTAACTGGCACAGCAGCGTAGGCTGAAAAGGTCCCTGGAATGTCGTCGGCAGGGAAGGCAGAAGGCAGCTGGCAAGACGCACGCTTTTGTTTATTGAATGAGATGTTGTGATACACCATAAAGCGTCCTCTACGTAACAATTGGAGCCAGGGCTACAGATGGATGCAGCTGGGTGGTATTAAAAAGTGTGGATGTCCTGGGAGTACAGGGTTTGGTCATAGGTACGGTAAGCCCCATCGCCAGTCCCGGGTCTCAGACACCCAACGGTGCAGCAGTTTTAAACTGATTAAAGTGCTTTTATTTCCCTTTTTTGAGCTTTCAGAGCTCAAAGGGTCTGTAAAATGGTTTAATAAAATACGGATTTAAGAGGACGTTCGGTGAGAACCAAACAGTGTATTTCATGTGGCTCAGTGGACATCTTGTAGGCAACTGGACACGAAGCAGCAGGTTTCAGAAGAGTCTGGATGATTATTTTGCTCAACTTAGCCCGTTTGTAGCAGCTGTCGTTCATTTGGGAGTTGAGCAAAAGGTTTGGCAGGGCTCGGCTGGGAGCACGTCTGTGCTGGGATCGCTCTGCCCTCTTGTGGGTTTCCACAGCGCCGTGACACCTCTGTCACCCGCCTGCGGAGACCGTCACTGCTTGAAAAGCTTTCTCTTGGCCCAGTTTTCCGCCACAGCGTGGCTTTCACCTCCCCTCTCGTTTTGTCTCTCGTTTGCAGGGAATTAAGCAGTGGATTTGTCAGTTGGCCGTGAATGTTTAAGTGCAGATTCTGGAGGGGAAAGGTGGAAAGCACGTTGTGGCTTTCTCAAGTGAGAGGGAATTCTTCAGGCTTCATTAGCAGAAACGCAGAACTGCCCCGGTTGCGTGCGTGCAGCTGCAGCCAGAAGTCACCAGGACTGTGCACGTGGGGAGAGGGAATTTGGCATCCCCTTGAACAGTAACAGTTGATGAACAAACTGCTGACAACCCTTTACTCCATGCTCATAATTTAGAAAAACCTCAACAACCTGTTAATTTTATTTGTTGGAAGCTCTGAAAAAGGTCTGCTTGTGATCTACATGTGTTCTGTAGCTGCCTGTGAATAGCTTGGGTTTCCCAGCAGCGAGAGGTAGCGCTCTTCGTTCGTTCAGCCGCAGGCAGAAGAGAGCCCTTAGTATGTGATCCATGTACTCAACTCCGTTCTCTGTACCTGGCCCCTTACCTGCTCCAGTCAGCCGTTGCATTCCTGTGCAGACTCCCGTCGGGATATGCATGAGAAGCACTCATGCCCTGATTTAGAATTTGGATGGAAGGAGTTTAATTTACTCAATGACATGATCATTTGAAATGATTCTAACGAGTCTTTCTTTCCTTCTTGTTGAAGACATGACAATGGATGAAGTCCGAGAGTTTGAACGAGCAACTCAGGAAGCTACCAACAAGAAGATTGGGATTTTCCCACCCGCAATATCCATCTCCAACATTTCCATGCCTTCTTCCACCCGCAGTGCTCCATCTAGTGCTCCATCAACTCCTCTCTCCACAGATGCTCCTGAATTCCTAACAGTTCCCAAAGACCGGCCTCGGAAAAAGTCTGCTCCAGAAACTCTCACTCTTCCAGATCCAGCGAAAAAAACCCTTTAAATCAGCCCAGCATGTTTCCTCCTGATAAGCCATGTCTGCCACAGCAAGTGACGTAACTCGGTTTCTACACAGGTCATGGTGGTTTGTTGGTTGGTTTTTTTTCTCTTAAAATTATCCTGCTGGTGTGGAGAGATTCCTCCTTTCCTCAGACCTGATCCTTACAACCTTCAGAGAAGTGCATGCAAGAGAGCGTAGTTTAAATAGCCCTGAAGTGGTGTTTCAAGCCGTACGGTGCATCTTAGCGACACAGGATGAAATAGTCTGAGGGGAGCCCTGTAACAGAAAACTAGTCCTTCCGTAGCAGTATTCTGCCTACAAATCCTCGTCCAGGTCACCGCAGTTATAATTAGGTATCTAGTAAAGTTGCCACGGACTTCTGAGGCAAATTAGTGCCAACTAGAATGCAGGGTTAACAGGAAAAAGTCTCTCCTGTTTCTTCCTTCGTAGCCGATTTTAAAATCCTTCTCAGGCTTCTCCGGTGCGTTCATAAACCTTTGACCTGCTTCGTTGTACTTGAACACCAACAACAATCACTCGGATTCACATTTTGCTTGATACGACTCAGGATTTGGGGCCTAGCTAACCAACACAAAACTCTTCAAACCTAAATTATCACTGTATTGAAGCCCCAGTTGTAATTAATCCTACTGACTTTGAGGCCATTGAACTATTTCTATCTTGCACAGAATTTGTAGAAGAAAACACCTGTTTCTTGTAGATAATGTATTTTAATAGCTCTCCCCTGTCCGTTGTGGTCTCTGAAGTCCCTATTGGTGTTCATCAGTGGCGTTCCATGTGTAAGACTGGAAAAAAGCAGCTAAATTGGGCCAGTTGAGAAGCAAAACCAAGGAAATAAGTCTTGTCCTCGCTGGAAGAAGCGTGGTAGTTGCGCTGTAAGGCCTTGAATGTAAAGGAGAGAAAAGACGAGACTCCTTTTTCTTTCCTGCCTCGCACCTTTCCCAACAGCACAATCTCTACCGGCAGCTGGCTCCAGGCTTTACCATTGTGTGGGGACGGGCTGGACAAAATCACTTTTCAAAAAGCAGGCGAGCGGTGGGGCTGCTGGGGCGCAGGCAGGGCGGCGTCAAGGACGCAGAAGCGCTCTTCCTGGGCTGCCCGCGGAACCGCTCCTCAGTCTCGGGGACGGAAATGGAGGAGAGGATGTTTCCCCCTAGGGAAGTGTAGGTTGTGGGAGGAGGAGAAAGATAAATGGCAGAAGAGGTCTTTTCCGCTTCAGAATGTAAGCTCAGTGAGAAACTTTCCCTCGCTGCCCCCGCGTGGGGCCCTGCGTTTCTCTGGAACAAGCTGCTCCTCAGTCCGTCTGCCCGTAGCTGCCGTGAGCCGCTCTTCAGCTCCCCGGGCTGACAGCTGTTCCCTGAGTGCTAGGACCGACGTGGGTGGTATTTCGGACCCCTGGTGACGCGGTACATGGGTGAAAAAGAGAAAACCCCTCAGAGCCGAGCTGTCACTGAATACTGAACGATGAGTTTGGGGCTGGCCTTGAGCTGGACGGGACGTTTGTGCCGCCCTCTCAGCGCAGTGCTGTGACCCGACGGGCCGAAGTGCGCTGACCCCACGGCTGCGTGTGTCAGATTTGTGCGTAGTTTTGGTAGCAGGAGAGGTAATCCCACTGCCGACCTGCACTGAGAACAAGTGTCTGTTTCTCTGATGGGTAAAATCCTGTAGCTAGCAAAATCTGGGAGCCCCTTGTAGGTTAGCTGTGGGCTGACTCCATGCCTTCTCCCACTGACTGGCCACGTTTTGCTCTCCTTTGCTTCTCAGAGACAGTAATTCTGCGCGACCAGGAAACTAATGGGTGGTGATTATTTTTTGGTTTAAAAAGAAGCCGCTGTAAAGGATGCAAAGAAAACTTCCCTACATCAGTTTATGGTTCCAGCATAAGAAGGGTGCACATTAAGGATTCATTATTGTAACTGCTCTGATGTTACTACTCTTTGTTGGGTAGCACGAGTGGGACATGGGCAGAGAAGGGAAACCTTTGAAAACGCAAAGCATTGCTTTCTTGGGTTTTCATTGCCTGAATTTCACCGGTGGAGAAATGGTTTAGCTCTGCTCCACCTGAAAGTCTTATTTTTCGATGAATTTTTTCTTCTATATACGTCTTGGCATCTGAGTTCGACACAAATTATTAGACCAAAGCAGTCCTACCTTTCCTCATATTTAACTGGCTGATTTCCAATCCCGTGTGGATTGTTGATTGTCATGTTAGGGGATAAGGCTTGTATGAAAATTACTGACATGCCTGAAGAGGACACACCTTAATAGCCGCTTGACCGAGACGGGGGAGAAGGACATTGGTCATGCCATGGAAAACATGACATCCTGCTTAGTGCCGGGTCTCCGTCTGCAGGTGCTGCTGCCGCAGCCCTTCCACCGAGCAGGGCTGTTCTCGGGGATTACGGATTTATTGGCCAAACTGCCGAAACTCACCCTGGGCCACAGCAAGGATGACGAGGCCGCAAGGCCTCCCTGTTGCTTCCTAATGAGGGCAGGCAGAAAGATCGGTCACGTTTCGTTGCTCAGGCTTTTCGTTGCCTGCTGTCTTCTGCTTTGCTTTCCCCACCGGCCATTGGGCGATACCTTCTTCTGTCTGGTTGGTGGGGGGGTTTCTTGCTCGGTTGGTTGAGGTTAGAATAACCTTTTCTAGAATACTCCCAGCCAACACACAAAATCCAGCGAAAAGGCAGGTCTGAATGCTGCAGTAGAACACCTTGAGGCAAAGGGGTTTCCTCACTGGTTTTTTCACTGCGCTGTTGTGGTTTTAAACATGTTTGTTAGGAGAAAACCAGAGGTTTTGCAGGTGTTCATCACTTCTTTTGCAAAAATAAACGATGTGATCAGCGGGTACACCTTTGGAGTATGGTGCCGCTGGCAAAGCTGAACAGGCACAACAGCCGTGTTCCAAGGATTGCCTGATGCAGCTGCTAGGACGTGACAAGGAATTTTTCATCAAGGGCAGTGCAGTTCAGGGCAAATAACGTGGTTAGTTTCTTTGGGTTTCTATTAAAACCTCCTCCCAGCTTTGCTCGTTCTTTGCTGTATTTCATATAGAACAATCACTGCAAAATAAGTGGCAATTCATCGGAGTCTTCGGAAGGGTAGATCCGGTAGACTGCAGAAGGGAGGTATCCATAAAGACTGTGAGGAGCAGCACATTCCTGAAACACCTAATAGGATTTCTCATGAATGTAAGGGTTAATTTTGTAAATGACTGGATAAATCCTATGGAAAGAAACTATTTGACCTTATTCTTTGGCTTTTTTTATTATTCTGGAAGGTGATTTTGTGACATTTAGTAGCCAATTTGCATTAATTGCTGCTGTAGAGATTTTGAAATGGAAATATTTGTTCCTTGAATTTTTGGTTTGTAACCGGACAACGGCTGTATTTTGTTAAAACTGCTTTGAAGCTTGCTGCACTATAACTTCAAAACGACATGCTCTCATTTGCAGTAAGCCAAATGTATATGCTTTTTAGGAATTAGTGAGTGCAGTAAGAGAGAATTCATGATCTTGTCAATAGGAGCTTTTCTATTTCCATTGTTTGGACTCGGTTTTACATGTGCAAGTTAAAACTGCTAAGTGAGTCTAACGATGTTTTGCTTTAAATGAACAGCATGGCCATTGAATTAGAATCTCCTGTAGTTTTGTGGTGTCACTAAACCAGGTTTCATTGGTTTATTTCATTCTGTGGTAATTCCACGTGACTCTGAACGCCCCAGTCATTAATTTCTTTTATTTAGAGCAATGGTGGCTACATCAGGCAACACATCAGCACCATCAGAGAAGGACCAAGTTTTGAAATGCTCTGCAGGGTAAATAATGCAGGGCTCAGCAGGAGACTTTGATTGTCATATTTCTCATTCGTCTCACTTAGTTTCTGATTTTTCCAAGTTATTTATTATTTTTAATATTGTATTTTTCCTTGCATTTTGTTGTAAATAAACTACCAACAATTATTCTTTACAATTGTGGCTGTTTTCTTTCCTACCCATTAGCATTTTTACCCACAAGCTCTGCAAGTGACTTCCTCAAAATTTAAAAAAGAAGAAAAAAAAACCAACCCCAAAAAATTGGCTCTGTAAGGAAAATTTAAACCACTTAGAACATCTACTGGGTTTTGTTGTGCCTCAGCTTTCTGAAGATTTTTATCGGGGCAGGTGCCCATCAGCCTGGTGTTAGCCCCTTCATTTGTAAAGGACCATTTGGTTGACAAGGATGCTCTTCAGCGGAAGTGTTGGGCAGCCTGGTGTAGGGA